ACCGAGGCTCAGGTGTCTTCAATTCTCAGAGAGATGAGCATTATTCAGCTAGATTCATATATTATACATCCCTCTATGTGACATACTGTAACCTAGATTTCCTTCTCTGTGGCATCCCTGGCTGTAGATATATCGGTGATGGTAGGAGGAAGCTGTGTGTCTGTTACAGCCATCCAGAAAAGCAGCAGTAGAAGCAGCTGTCACTACATCACAGATCTTATAGCATCTATGTTCATGTTGAATACCTGGAATGTGAGGCTGGCCCCTGCTCTGATGGACCACACCGTAAAATTCAGCTTGATAAAAAGAAGAACTCACAGTATACTCAAGGGGGATTCTGTCTCAGGTTAAATATGTTACATTATTAATTTGATACCAAAGTAAAAGTTTCCAAACACTTAGTAAGAATGTTGTTGATTTTTAACAACAACTCAGTTTATATCAGCAAAAAAACAATAATAACTGAAAGTGCAAAAGTGTCTGTTCTTTTTATTTTTAATAAAAAGAAAGGGTATAGTGTTTATGTTACAAGCTCATTCTCATCCTTGGTGTTTTTATCCTTATAACAGATTAAACACATTTTAGTGGTAGGAACACAGTACCTTACAACTAAAAATGTTCTAGAAATAAGTAAAAAATCTCTTAAATTAGGTGTATTTACCATTAATTATGGTAATTAAGGGTCAAATAACTATATTTACGCTCAATTGAGCAGGTAAATAAGATGATTTGCCAACGAAATTTGTATTTTTACTCTTCAAATAAGATAATTAAATAAAATGCGCTTGAAATAAGACAATGCAATTGTTTGTTTAATGTAAATTGTCTTGTTCCATTGGCAGTGTCTCACTTACTTTCTCAAAAAATGTACTTATTTTAAGAAAAGATACTTTATTTGGATTTAATTTTTTTTTTTTTGTACAGGATTTGACAGATTATAGTCTAATCCCTTCAAAAGGAGACATTTCTTGTTAAACACTAACATCTAATTGGCTCCACCCACGCTAGTAAGTCCCTGCCTCTCAGCATGTAGATGTGGTAAAGTTCAAATTTTAAATAACAAAGAATTTGGCAGAAATGGAAAAAAAAAACATGGCTGCTGGTTCCAGACCGACTGTCCTGGGCGTCTGACAAATGGATTATCTGCTAGAACTTCCCATCATAGCCATCTCAGTGGTTTGCAGAGTAAAGTCCAAGAGAAAAACAACAAAAGAAAGACAAAATAATCAGTGAGCGTCTGTGTGGAGGATTTTTTTTTTATACGAAGGCATTTTCGCAATCTGAACTCCTCTGGAATCCCACCAGCTGTCTACGATGAGGGACGTGGCGATGATGTTACTGGGATGTAACATAAACTGAAGAACTCCTCTGTCTGCTCAGCTTTTCAGGGGCTGTAAAAATCTGAGTACAGTGTAAATATGGGGGGGGGGACAGCTGGAGATAGGCGCCAGCATCCCTTGCGACCCCACTTGAGATAAAGCATGACGGAAAATGGATGGATAATCTCACATTGGAGAAGTTCACTCTCTGCATTTAACCCATCCCCTTGGGGAGCAGTGGGCTGCCATTGTGCGGTGCCTGGGGAGCAGTGTGGGGTTAAGGGTGTTGCTCAGGCACCCAGAGTGGCAGTCAGTGGAAGTCGGACTTGAACTCCAAACTTCCGGATTCCACGCAATTTGAACCTGTTTCGAGGACTAAAGGCTGGTTTATACTCAGAAACCAGGTGGTCTGTCGCAGTTAATGCAAATATGCCCCGCCCCCTCCGCAGACGCTCTGCTGCACCTCTCAAAAATTGTAGGTGACTGCAGACAGGAGGCCTCTGATTGGTCAAATCTACATCCGCTCTACACTATGTGTATTTCCTGTTTGGTACCTTACCAGATTGTTTTGTTTGTATGTCCGCCATTGTGGAAAACGACTTGTGAAGTTGGACCAGGTAGAGCGAGGTGCGCGAGAACGCCGGGACCCTTATTCCACCTGGATCCCCGCTCTTTTTGGCCCTCATGTTCCTTTGTTGTCGCACAAACTTGCCCCCACTTCCTCACCTCCTAGGCCGTATGTAGACTCACAGCTAGTTCCTGATTGTCCCTCCTGCGTTGTGGCGTGGAATAATACAGTATAGCGCAGACCAAGCTTCAATGTTGGGCATAGATCAAAAATATCTCAAGCTCACTGCGACACTCTGCTGTGGGAGGATAACCAGGCCTTAAGGCCTGTGGAAACGGGTCGTTCATGCTAACCACTGCGCCACCGCAGCAAACCCTCCACTGATAAAGCTGTCTGTCCTCATTGTCCCTCATAAACATGCTAGGTGTTCCTCGTTTGATTCCTCCAGAGATGTTTCCTTCAGACTAAACATCATCATGTAGCAGCGGCGGATTGTTTTAGAGGCAGACATGCTCAGTATTGAGCCGACAGAGAAGAGAAACAGGCAGGAAGAAGACAGGCTGTCACATGAATGTCAGGACCTAAGCAGGTCGTCCAACTATTGCCACCATCACCAGTGCTGGAGTTTCTCTTGCTAGGCCCTAAAGACAATTTCTAACTCTGTATTTTTCTGATGTTCTGCTGCTCTCTCTTGCTGCTTTTGGTACTCTTGGACCCAAACACATTCCCACTAAACCAACAGCTGCAGGGTTCAGATCAACTGTGATTAAACTGTCGGTCGTTACCACATCAGAGTACTTTTAAAAACATTCTTTGGAAAAGCATCAGTGTGAAGGCCTGGTTAGATGGGACACACAGGCTGCATCCTGATGCCATCTCTGAGCCCGCCGTAGACCTGCCAGCTCTGGGAGGGAGGAGGGACTAACATAGTGCTCAGGTTCAGAGCATGTCTGTCCCTGCTTTGTCAGTCCTGGATCAGGCCAGATTTTTATTTCCAAACTAACAAATAAAAAAACTCCACATTTAAGGAGAGTTCTGTTATCAAGGTCAAATCAGCTCCTCTGCACACGTCAGAAAGCCTCACTTTCTTCTCTTTTAACACAGCAGGAGCATTCAGTGTTCTGCTTCTCAATGTCTTTCACCTAGTTTCTCCATCACCCCCCCCACACACACACACACACACACACACACACACACACACACCTCTAGTCTGTTCAAACTAGTTAGCTGCCCTTTGCCGACTGCAGCACAGCGTGAGCAGGAGCCCTGCTGACTCGCCCTCTGTTGATCAATCAACACCTACTAATGGAGAAGGAGATGAAAGAGGGAGAGAAGGAGATGTGGATGGAGGGAATATGGAGACATTCTATAATGACAAGCAATCAGGGACAGGAGGGGGGGGGGCTTTATATAGCATATAAGGGTCAGTAATAACATCAGAGCTATTTAACCCCAATGCAGAACCTCATCCATGGCCTGCAGTGAAGTCAGTAATGGATGGATGGATGGATGGATGGATGGATGGATGGATGGATGGATGGATGGAT